CTGATCGCCTGAGGGAGAAATGTCCATCCAGGAAACTAGATGGCTATAGGATTATGACAAGAAGTACTCAAATCCTTGTGTACACTAAGTTCTTTCTGTAGCTGAATAAAAATATAATTTAAATTCATGTAAAGGGTATTCAGCCTCCGAAAAAGGAGGACGCCTGACCAATTGATGTTTGCTTCATTCATTGGTGGAGGGTATACTATACTACTGGCCCTGTAACAGAAAGATGAATTGGATACAATCCCTGCCCCCTGGGGACTCTAGTCTGCTCTGGTAGACAGGCAGGCCCCTGAGCATGTTTTTGCCAATGAAGAATTAAAATCTCTCAGTATACTCCACTTCTTTCTCCTTCTATTTCGTCTCTAAAGGCAGAGTCTTCATTCCCCAGGTATATAAATTCTATTTCTTGTGTCTAAGGAAGAGTGATCTCATGATTGCATTAAACAAAAATAGTAGTCTTTACTAGCTTGCTACTGGGTAACAGAGACAAATCTTCTTGTTTTTATTGTTATTTTTGCTTTTGCACAAGATCTTATTGTACATACTTTTCAGAAAACATGATTTGAACTGCAGAACACTAACATTCCTGTAATGATGAGACTTGTTACATGGAAGCCCCCTGACACACTGCTAAATATTAGTCTATTCTTCTCCCTCCAGATAGAATGTCATTGGCAAATGAGAATCAATTGTACTTACAAAAACTGTAATTCAAAAAATTCAAAATGTCCCTGAGTAACTTCAATTCTTCCCTAGGCAGGAAATTTCTATCTTTAACTTCTCATGTTTAAGTTATGCCTTTTTCCTTCTGACCATATGGATTTCAAATGGCAAATCACTCTCTGTAATTTATCATGTCTTTAAAAGCATAAAATGTAATCATATTTACTATGTCCTATGCAAATGCAATGATAATTAGTATCTCAATAGTGAATAACATTCAGAGATATCTGTGAATTCAGGTATATTTCTTTACTAGTTGAGTATTTCAATTTTAGAGAAAGGGTTTTCTGCCTTAATTTCAAATGCCTAGGTAGTTTTCTGTAATTTCTAGGTGAGATTTTTCAAAATTATGTGCATAAAGTTAGGATTAGGGAACTGAAATTTAGGAAAGCTTGTATTTGTGAATTTGATGGTAACTGCGTTTTTTAAAAAGGGTTTCACTCTATAGAATCAAAAAGAATATGGCAAAATAAGTTTCTTTTTAACCACCTGATAAACGCCAAAATTATCAAGACAACCAGGGACCTGGTTCAAAAAATTCATTTAAAACATACTTCAGGTGACTTAAAAATACACTCTTTAAAATAATTTGTGGTGGGGATAATTTTGGTAAGAAAATCTTACATTGACTGTATGAGTTGTTATTTTTGCAAAACAAAAGGACTATTATAAGTACAAATAGTTTCCAGGAAAGACCTTTTTCCTCATAGAGCTGTCTTTATAAAGGTACCTTAATGATTGCTTTGTGAAGTTGATTGTTATTGTCATGTCCAAGAGGAGGTCTGACATTTTATCAATATCACAGCATTTTAAAGGAACATAGGAAAGCGCCGTGTGTCACTTCCAAAGATTTTTATTAAACAGAGAATTAAACTGACAATTTACACATCAACATAAGCTGATGCTCATAACACATTGGGTCTAGTCAAACTATTCTGAGCATTTATAAGCTATTGATTCATAGGTGTATACATATTTTCATAATTTATCATTTTAGAGACTATGCACTTTTCCTCCTAATGTTCTAAAATCTCGTGGCAGGATTTTTATTATATGCAAATTAGCAGCATTTGATTAGGTCCTGAGGCGGCTTCACCTGGGTGTTCAGAGAAATAGCAATGGGAAGTGAGGAAGAATATTTCATCACTGAAGTGTGTTTTCCCTGGGGGGACACCACCATTTGATTTTGACATTTATTTGTCCTATGCTATAAAGGACAAAACTACAGTTACACTTGTTTTAAAATACTGTGCAGTGGGCATCATGTCAGAAAAAATTAAATCAAAATAGTATGTTTGCATACAAAACAAGATCCAAAACCAAACTTATTAAGCAAATCCCTGGTTAAAATCATAGTGCATTAAAAAATACTATTTAACTAATGCTTAATGTTGAGTATATATAAAAAGAATCCATGAGAAACCAAACTGAAGAAACAAGATTACATCTATATAGCTTCGTAGTGTTCTCTTGGGTCTCTATAACAAAACAGATTTGAAAATACAGGTTCATTCAGTACTTAATTACCAAGTTCTTGTTTGCCTTACACCATTTTTAGGATCCTGAAACAAAATTACTACCTGATAGATAATGATTGCTAAAACAATGAATAAGTATGTGCCAAATATATTTTCTCGTATTTTAAATTTTGCAATCTTTTTAAAATTTGAAATCTATACCACTTTATACTTTTCTGTCAAGAAATAATAGAGTTACTTTTTAAAATTGAACTTGATCATATTTTTCAAAATTTGAAAATATATTTTATTTGTCTATTGATCAAAATATAACAACCTTTGTAAGTGATTACCTTGAACAAGAAATACAAGGAAAAAGACTAAGAACAGTCAAAGACAGCTACAAGTTTTCTTAAGCATGGAGTTAGCTTTTATTCTCTAATTATCCTCACATACAGCAATTATAAACTGGTAAAGAACTAACACATTAAAGCTTTTTTTCAGAAATATTCTAAAATTTGTGTTTTTCCAAATCTATGATTCTCTGTAAAGCATCTCAACTGAAGAAAATAGTCACAAAACACCTTCCTGTTTTGATAATTAAATAAAACTAAAATTACCAGAACACCAAACATCCTAGAATTGATGCATTTCTGTGGATTTCAGGAAAAAGTACCTTTTTTTCTGTTATGTCTTATATATCTGCATTATGTGTTTTTTTCTAAATATCATAAATTTAAATATAAGTAATAATTATATATCTGACACGTAAAAAGTTGGCTATGATGTCAATAATGCTGAAGAGAAAACTGAAACAGTAGTATGTGCTAATAGCAAAAAGTGAAGTGAAATAGAGTCTTCTCTAATTAAGGCAATCTTAAGTCATGAATGATGTAGCTATCATGAATTATTAAGGGTGGTCCCAGTAATTTAACTAAAAATAATCCTTTTACTATATTCCCAAAAGCCAAGTGTTCTAATAATTTAAAGGTTTGAAATCTTTCCTTTACTTCGAAGAGAAGCAAAATTAAGTTATCTTTTAAAAGGTCAAATGTTGAACCATAAACTCCTTTTTATCCGTAAAAGTATCCCTTGTTTAGTTTTAATTGGAAATATTTATAACAAACTTGGAAATTATTCATGTGATTAAAAGGAGCATTTTATATAACGAATTAAATAGTAAGCCAGATGAGTCTTTATTTTCTTCATTTTTTTTCCCCTCTTCTGATAGAGTGAGCCAATTCATCATGTGTTTTCTAGAATGGCTCTGAAGAGGGGACTCCAAAGAAGGAAGAATTAAAGAATAATTGGTCCAGCTCTTTATACATCAAGTAATGGATGATTAAAGCTTTCTTAGATTAATTCACGTAGCTAAAATACAACTACCACACAACTACTGCTCTGAGATCAAGCCAGTTCTTTTTTTCGTGTCCTTTTTGTTGTTCTTGCTTTTAGGACAACTTGGTTCAACTTACTTCTATCTAGATGATTTGTTCAATGGGTTTAGAAATTGATTTCTGTTAACAGGGCCAATGAATAGGAGCCAGTGATAGAACAATGCTAAAAGGATCAGGTGAGATAATTGAATGTGACTAAGCTTTATGAATAGGCAAGTGCAATACCAACATAATGTTTTTATTATAAATTTAAGAGATCTAAAAGATGTTGAAGAGAGGTTGAAAGTCAAGAGGGAACCAAATGCATGCCATACAAGCTATTTAATCTGCATAATCTGAACTTCATCTCCCTGTGAGGCTGTAAAGTTCTTGTGAGCTGAGAAACATCTCATACCCCCTATGGTGATTTAGCACCTGCATGGCCATGATAACCACCCCATGGTCCTGGGTTACTCGGAGCTCTTCAGAGCATCATGCTTACAAGACTCCTGAGATACATGTAAAGAAAAAAAGGAATTGTCATTAAAAGTTGTATTGATGTTATGACTAGAATTTTGGCCATAGCTTATCCTTTGGAAAACTGAGAAATGCTATAATGTAGGGAAGCACATGCTGGCAATATTTAACAAACTAGCATGATAGGAAAAACGGAAGTGAATTTGACTTTAATATGGTAAAGAAAACACTATTGTCGCCCCTGCCTTTTCTCACTTGGGTATTTTCCCTTTGATCGGATTTGCCACTGTTGACATGGGAGGCACTCACTAAATTCTGACAGAAGAAAATTGATCAAGCACACAAATGCCCTTTATTCCTGTCCAGGTGCTGTTTAATGTGTTTACCTAAGAGTCAGACAATTTCCTTAAGGAAATCATGCACATTCCATACTAATCCTGGTCCTAGCCCGAGTTAGGCCTAGTTGATGTGGCCCAGACTTGCAAAAGGAAAAACCACCACAGCAGTGGTCCTGTGAAAACACAAAGTGGACGCCAGCCCCTGATAGATACCACAACACTAACCACAGGAACTTCTAACCAAGTCCAAGGTAGGGGATATGTTTGTACCTATGTTCAATGTTATTTCTAACTACAGCTCTAGAATACCAAATATTCTACCTGCATATCCACCTGAAGGCTTGAGGAAAGAATCACAGGTATAGTTTGTTAGAAGTACATAACCCACTGACAGCCCAGTGAATTGTCTTTAGAAGCTTCAAATGATTTATCTTTTCTAAAAATTAAAAATCTATCTTCAAGAAAATCATTTGTGTGGAGAATTTGCAAATAGTTTCTCACCTTCAGCCATTCCATTCACTAGTTCCAATATGTCTCCAGGAAATATAACCTATCAATTATAACAAAAATATTCTATCCAGGTAATTAAAACTTTTAGTAATGATATAATGTTTTCTTTTCAGATTAAAAAGTGAGCACAGGCTGGGTGCAGTGGGTCATGCCTGTAGTCTCAGCACTTTGGGAGGTCGAGGTAGGCAGACTGCTGGAGCTCAGGAGTTTGAGACCAGCCTGGACAACATGGAAAAATCCCGCTTCTACAAAAGGCACAAAAAATTAGCTGGGTGTGCACAACTGTAGTCTCAGTTACTTGGAGGCCAAGGTGGGAGAACTGCTTGAGTCTGAGACGTCAAGACTGCAGTGAGCCATAATAGCACCACGGCCCTCCAGCATGGGCAACAGAGCAAGACCCAATCTCAACACAAACAGAAACAAGCAAACAAAAAACTGAGGACAGGAATGTAAAGGATCTTTTTATCCACATTTTCCTTGAGTTACATTTTATAATACAAGTAGGGACAGAAAAATGAAGAGAGCTGGTTAATCAAGTTTAAAACATTAAACACAAATAGCTCTTCCCTCTTAAAGTATTTATTAACAAAAACAGGCCAAAGATATCAATTATTGGTTAGCTCTGAAAGGTGGTGTGATTAATAGTTTGAAAGAATGTTAGGTATAGCTAATGGCATTTGTAAAATAAAAGAGAAAAATTTGGGACAAGTTTATCAATTATTTGTTGAGTTTCAGTAATATGGTAGACATTGTGAAGCATTTAAATGTGGTTCCTCTCCTCATTTTTTAAAAAGTACTCTAGTTTTTTGTTAACAGACCCGGCTAGTTCCTGCAGCTTTGAAAAAGAATTTAAAGCCCATAAATTTCGCAAATCCTAAGCAAGAAGCATATATTAGTTCTTCAAAGCGTATTGATTTTTTTAAAAAACACGGATTTTAGCTTTCATGTGATAAAACTTTTAGTGATTTTCTTACCATGTCTTGTTAAGGCTTAAGTTCCTCATTTACATATTTGATGTCTCTCAGGAGACAGACAAGCTTCAAGTTAATTATCTATGTAGCTGTAAGAACTCTTGTTTCCTGGTTAAGAACTCTTCAAAAGAAAACTAATAGTTATTAAATGTTACACTGAGTCACCAAAAGTAATCAAGATACACAATGAGAGGCACTAAACAGACACTTAAATTTAATAAAAACCTCAACTTTTTAGAAGATAAATGAAAAAAAATCAATTAAATCTCTTACAGTAATTTTCAGGGAAAACAGCCAGCAGAAACCAAACAGCTGAAATCTCTGCTCTAGAAAGTGATTAGGCACTGCTGGAGGCTTAAAGAAATTATTGTAAATTTCTGGAAATAGACCCAGTGAACTCAGATCTGTAATAGAGTTGTAACTAAAGAAATGCCAGTTAAAAAAATAAAAAAGTCTGGCATCTTTTCCACTGAATGTGTGCCACCATGCAGGGGTGTATGTGTGTGCATGTGTGTGTGTGTGTGTACACATATATAATACATCATATATAATATAAAATACATATACAAAGTATGTGCTATTTATAGACAAACATATGCTTTATTTTATATGATAAGGAAATATATGTGGGGTTAAATCATAATCATTTAATCTGAAAGTCTATTAAAGATCAGTTTCATGGAATAAGAAAAAGAAAGAAGGGCAACCATAAGACAGACTTGAGTTGGGAAATTGAAACCACAGCTATCAGGTGAGTTAATTAATCTGGGTATCGTTCAGTAAATGAAAGTGTGCCATCTATTTCACAAGGGCCCATTGTGTCTTGCATGTGAAATAAATTTACCCTGTTTGATTAAGGATTACTGATTGCCTCCAATTTATTATATGTATCCTATAATTAAGTCACAATGAATTCGAATGAAATGGGGATGGTCTCCTCCACAAAGAAGACAACAAGCTCATTCTAGGAAGACCTTGGGGGTCATTCAAGAAGCAATTAAATGTTCTCTAGGGTACATTAAAAGGAAAAAAGCTTGATGGGCTGAATGGCCTCTCCTTATATTCATCCTTCTCAATATTCTGCTCCTATGGAGACAAATGAAACCTTGTCATAAAATAATATAAGGCACTATCAGCAAGGAAAACAATGCTGTCTGCTCTTATATACTAAGGAGAATGTTGTTGAGAAAATAATCTATACTACACAGAGGATGAAGAGGAGCATGAGCTAAAGTGATAAGCTATGTCAGAATCTGTTCAGAGATGGAAGGGTCTAAACAAATCAGTGGGCTCTGAAGGGGTGCACATGATCCTTGAGAATTATACATTTTTTCTGTTTACCAGTAGCAAATACCTAGAATAAATGCTTTTTAGCAAGTGAAATAGAAAAAGCAAGATCAGTAACTGTTGTGCCTACAAATACATTTCTCTATAGTTTTAGAAACACTCTTATAAGTAGGGACCATAAAAGCAAAATTACAGAGAGCTATTGAAAATGCCAAAGAAGACAAATATGATGGCAATATAGGAGAGAAAGACTGAACTCAGGTCCACTGAAACCAAAGGTAGGGGAATCCCTAAGCACTAGGGTGAGTTACAGGAAACTACTGGAAGACTTTAAAGGGGAGATTTGTGAATCTGATTAGACATCTGTATTTGCTAATTAGCATTACGGAAGTTAGGCTTCCACCTTCCCACAGAGACTGAGAGATAGACACCTTATCTTTCTTGATAATTATATATTTTTAGAAGATTTACATTTCAAAAAGGCAGAGAAAGAATTTACAATTGCAAGTTTTTTCAAAGTAAATACTTTAAGAGGAGGGAAGTCAGGTGCCATAGTCAGGAAGAAACCTATCTAAAGATTAGTCAGGTTTTAGAGTGTGGGTCCACTACTCTGAGATCAGTCTGGCCTCACAGAGAAATGGAAGCATCATTGCTTTAACTATTCCCTTAATAAATACACCTCTTTGAAAAATGGAGGTCCTAAAATATGCCTGTCTGCAAATAGTTATGAAAATATTCATCACTGAAGTAACTAAAATATAATTAGATCAGTTTTTTACATTAAAAACAGTTAATTTTGTTTATATACATATCAAATAATAAAAACTTTATCACCTAGTATACGACCCAAAAATTACTCAAAAGATTTTTTTTTTTTTTAAATCCCAGAATGAGCACATTTGTATGTAGAAGCCACATTTTATAATGGAAAAATAAATTTTAAAAAGAATCTGAAGAACACAGCCCAAAAAGTCATTTTTTCCATAAGCTTAGGAACATGATTTACCTTTGCTGAGATTTATTTTCCTCGTCTTTAAAGAAGAAAACCTGCTCTGCTTACATTACTGGAGATGAGAGAATGATGGAAAAACATTTAAAACGTGTAGTCAAAGGTGACACAAGAGAGAAAAGCAGAGGTCAGGTCAGAATGGATCTAAAAGCTCTATTTCGGAATTTGTTCCAGAAATCTAAAAGCAATAAGAAGGCATTGAAGAATTTTTAAGCAAGAAAGTGGCATTATATGATGGCCATATGAGGAAAAAATACTCTAACAGCAGTGTGGAGAATGTGTTAGTACAGCACAATACCAGAGACTATAAAACATGTAGTCCTGGGGGTGGATCCAGGGGTGGTAGCTACAGAGGCTTAGAAAATCTGGAGGCTCTCCACAAAATAAAAAATATATGAAGTTCTAAGATCAGGTCATTTTCAAAGGCCTTTGGAAATACAGAACCCTAAAGCTAAAACTTTATTGGCATAGCAATAAATTAGCCTCTGAAAAGGCTGTTAAATACTAGTGAGGACCTGATCATGGCAAACTGATCCAGAATAGTAAAAGTGGGGATGGAGAGGCTGGACAGATTCAAGAGATGATAAGGGGGTAGAATCACTAGGACATGACGCTACATTATGTCAAGGTAGAGAATGAGGGTTTCTGACTGAGTGGATTCAAACACCTGGGTGACAGCATCAGCCTCAGGAAAGAGGGAACACCTCTTCTACAACAGGGAAGATGGAAAGCTTGAGTGGAGATAGATAGGCGTGAATTCTGTTGGCAAGTTGAAGGTTCCCACATCCAATGGTGAATCTGTTATGAAGAGAATTGCAGTATAAGAGGACACTATTTCAGGAAAGAGAGAGAAGGCAGAAATGTCAGTACTGCACAGAAGGCAAAGAGGATGAGCACGTAGAAGCACCTCATTTCTGAAGGAACCACTACATCTTTGTAAAAGAGCAGATTCATGCAATGAAAGCAGATTCATGCAGTGGATGGGAAAGTGAACGAAGTATGCAGCGAGTTCAGCCAACTCTTTGGAGACTTCTGCTGGTAAGGGAAAGGAGGGTGATGGAACCATAGTTGGAGAGGAGCATGGGGTTGAGAAGGGCATTTAAAGAGCTGGTGATAACTAGGTGAAGAGGTTGAAGATACATGCAAGATTAATCATCTTAACAGCAGCACCACATAAAAGGATGGGACTCAAAGCACAATGGGTAGGGTAATCCTTAAGTAGAAGGTGACTTTTCTGATAGAAGAAAAATAAGAAATTATAGTTGTTCATGCAGTTAAGTCCGTAGGGAAGGTAAAATTAGAGAGTTCATTTGTTTTTGACTTTTGTCTGAGTCTAGAGTCAAAGTTATCTGCTGAAAATGAGACTGTGGAGTAGAAGGGATGGAGGCAGAAGTCACAGGCTCATGGAGAAGATTTGAAATAAGCACCAGGGGAAATGGAGAAAAAATTAAAGAAAGGCACCAGAAGAAACAGCAGGCAACACTGATGACCAGATGAAGTTAAAAACCAAGAATTTGTGGTGGCAACAATCCATGCAGTTATGTATCTGTATGTGTGTATTTCCAACAGTTCATCAAATGATATGTTGCTATAAAGAAAGCATATAACTGGATTGATCCAGGGTTGAAATTTTACCTGGTGGATAAGACAGAAAGACAATGCTCAAGAGTTCTGAAGATATAGACACAGGATGGTTACAATAATGGACCATCCCATTCAATCAAGAATAAGGAAGAAATGAAAAGTAGATGTAGATTGATATATGGGAAATAAGTAGAAGAGTAAAAAGACAAGATATCCCTAAGAAAGTGAAGGTCAAGAAGAGAGTTAGGGCTGGGCACCATGGCTCAGACTTCTATCCCAGCACTTTGGGAGGTTGAGGTAGATGGATTACTTGAGGCCAGATGTTCAAAACCTGGGCAACATAGCAAGACCTCATATCTCAAAAACAAACAACAACAACAAAGAAAACAGCCAGGGAAAAACA